CGAAGTAACTATAAGTTGTTGCAACTAAACCAACGAGTAAATTATTTTAGACATTGATCACATTCTAATAGTTGAAGAATATATATTTTTTTTTAAAGAGAGTCGTGAGTGCAGTTGTGCAACTGAAAATTTTTAGTGAAGATAGTTTGTGTTATATTATTTTATAATTCATAAAATTTATGAAATTATCAGTGTTTTAATGAATAATTTGGAATTGAACTCGTACCACTCAAACTAAATAAGAAAGATATTGAGAATGAAGAGAAAGGTGTTATGACCACATAAGGCAATGGATTTGTCACCATTCTTGCAACACTTGATTTTTGGGCGCCTCAATGAAGGCATTCCAGTGTCCATCGACCCCACTCACCATGTGGATTACGTTGGAGCCAACGAAGTAGATGTCTATTTATTCAAATAACAAGTCTGTTGATTCTAGTAGTACTAGTACAGTTATAAAACCAAAATCAATGAGAAATGACTAAGTATATAAAAAAAAAATCATAGCCTATAGATAAAGAATAATGAACCTAATTGTCATCACTAAAGAAGAGGAAGTAATTTCAAATTTAGAAAATTAAGAACTAAGAATTTCTTTCTTTAATCTTAGATCAGTTCAAATCGGTTTAGTATTTTATTTGTAGATCAGTTTGAACTAATTTATATATATATATATTTTAAATGCATGACATTTAACGTGATATTCAATATACAATTAAAAAATTAAAATGTGTCACGTGTGACCAAAATTAATATATAAAATAAGTTATCGATATTAATTTCTATTAATAAAAAAAATTGTATCAAATTTTTTAAATATATATATAAATTAATTCAACTGAAAATTAAAATAAAAATTAATTTGAGTAAAAAAAAAATGTAGTACACATAATAAATCATTGTTGTAGCCAAATATCAAATATGAAAATTTGGTATTTGAACGAGTGAATGAATGGAATCATAGTTTTGATATTTAATAATTGACAATAATTACAACCTTCCCATCAAAACTGAAAATTAACATAATTTTATAGGGTAAATTTGGATTAATTATTAAATTACCTCTTAACTTCAAGATAATTATAAATTTACTTTATATTATTAAGAAATACACTCTTAACTAGTATTCTACTAATTAAATATTAAAAAAACTAATCTTCTTATGTTTATAAAAATTCTTAAATCATTTTAGTGCCAGATAATTACAGTCTGTCAAATTTTTTATAAATAAATAACAAAATATTAACATTAAAAAATATATGAAATTAGATTAAATAAAAGGAGGGCATTTTTGTAATTATATTTAAATAAGTTGAATATTTTTGTAAATTACTTTCTAAATTTAATTAACCAAATTTAAAAAAAAACACGTGTTTTATTTTTATTTTTATTTTTATTTTTATTTTTATTTTTATTTTTACCTCACCTCCACCACCATACAGGCTACAGTGTCTCTCCGTCTCACTCCCACTCGTCCAGTCGTCCGCCATGGAAAACCACAGCAAGAAGAAAAAATCCACCATTAAAACCTTAACTAAAACTTCAAACTCCACCCTATTCCTCCTCTTAATCTTCGTCTCTCTCCTCCAAAATTCCCATTGTGCGTTCCCCAAACCCCCTCCTCTTCCCATCTTACCTCTCCCCTCTGCTTCCCAGCTCAACTGGCAGCAAGCTTCCATGTCCCTCTTCCTCCACTTTGGGATGAACACCTTCACTGACTCCGAATGGGGATCTGGCCAGGAAGACCCGTCCGTCTTCAACCCAACTCAGTTCAACGCCACCCAGTGGGTCCAGGTTGCCAAGGACTCCGGCTTTTCAACGGTGATCCTCACTGCAAAGCACCACGATGGGTTCTGCTTGTGGCCCAGTGACTACACGAATTACTCTGTGCGTTCCAGTCCGTGGGAGAAGGGAAATGGAGACGTGATGGCGGAGCTGGCCGCGGCTGCGAAGGAGGCTGGCGTTGGATTGGGGATATACCTGTCGCCGTGGGATCGCCATGAAGATTGCTACGGGAAGACTGTGGAGTACAATGAATTCTACTTGGGACAGATAACTGAGTTATTGACCAGGTGATTTCAACTGGGTTCTCTGAATTTCTTTGCTTAATTGTTTGTTCCTACTTTGCTCCTTTGTGGGTCTGTATTGGTTTTTTTTTTTGTTGGCTATGGAATTTTATGCGCATTCATGAGTAATTGCCATTTTGATAGGTATTGAGTTTATTTGGGATTTGTATATGATTTTGGTTTTGTTTTGATCTATGAATGTATGGATCTTCTGATGAATTAGCACTGAACTGAACATCAAAAACCTCTGTTCATGGTTGCTACTTGATTCACTTGGCTTCCTATAAGTTATTTGCTAATTGGATTTTGAAAGCATATTCTTGTTTATGAATGTTCTAAGTTTATTTTCTATTTTCTTATTTTTCTTAAATTTGATTTGTAATGAATCTACAACAAGTAACAGAAGTGAAGGAAATAAATTTCCAAAATTTGGTAAAACAGGTATGGAGAGATCAAGGAAGTATTTTTAGATGGTGCAAAAGGTAAAGGGGCAGTTGACATGGATTATCTCTTTGATTCTTGGTTTAGTCTCATCCATCAGCTCCAGCCTGCTGCTGTCATCTTTTCTGATGCTGGTCCTGACTCTAGGTGGGTAGGGGATGAAGCTGGTGTTGCTGGGTCTACTTGCTGGTCCCTTTTCAACCGGAGCAATGCAAAGATTGGCGATACCGATCCCAAGTGAGTAACTTCCTGCATTTCCCCTTTAAGATTTTGCAACACCAGAATAGATTACATAGAGTACTTACAGACTGTCCTATGCACAATTCTTAGCTCCAGAATCTGGCTGGAGATAACTTTATGGAAAGCTTCATTCCCCTCTGGAATTAATGCTAATTGCATGTTACTACTTTCACCAGGATAGATGATAGGATCCATGGACTTGAGGCACTAAACTCATAGCCTTGTTAGCAAATAAAATGTGTTTCTATAGTTTCTTCCGAGATTGTAAAATTTTAAAATTCTGATCTCTATTTATTGTTGTCAACATGTCCGATAGGTACTCACAGGGAGGAGATCCATGGGGCCATGACTGGGTGCCTGCTGAATGTGATGTCTCCATCAGGCCTGGTTGGTTCTGGCATGCATCACAAGTTCCGAAGACTGCACTGAAGCTTCTTGACATATACTATAAATCATCTGGCAGGAACTGTCATTTGTTATTAAATGTGCCTCCAAATACTTCCGGACTGATTTCTGATGAAGATACAAAAGTCCTTCGAGAATTTAGTGAGCTCAGGAGGTCCATATTCTCCAATAATTTGGCCAAGAAGGCCATTCTTAGCGCCAGCAGTACTCGAGGAGGAAATGACAATTCCCAATTTAACCCTTACAATGTTCTTGAAGAAGGTATTCATACCTACTGGGCTCCTGAAGAGGATCAATCTAGTTGGGTTTTATACCTAGACCTTCATGAATTAGAGTCTTTCAATGTTCTGCAAGTTCAAGAGCCAATTGAAATGGGACAGCGTGTTATCTCCTTCCATCTAGAGATCATTGACGACAATGGGAAGTGGAAGAAAGTGATTAGAGGCACCACAATCGGATACCAGAGGCTGTTGCAATTTCCAACTGTTAAGTCTCGCCAGTTGAAGTTCGTAATCGACGAGTCAAGGGCAGATCCACTTATATCTTATTTTGGCATTTATATTGATAGGTTTTCCATTTTAGGCAGCATATCTGATACCAATTCACACACGCTATACAACAAAAGTCAGATTTATCCACATATCCAACACAACCATTCTCAAATCTCCACAATGTAGCATCTGTTTAAACTTCAGGTTACTATTGTTACACAGGTAATGGTCAGATTTTCAGAGGACTGATTGTTGATGGCTTACTCCACTGCTACACTATTTAATTTCCATTATACTTTTGATACACCTTCAAGCATAAAAAGTTCAAATGCAGATGAGATCTTTTCTTAATCTACATGGTCTTTCGTGTAGAACTTTGGATTTCTCAAGTTCAGAGGATTTGATTTGGTGTTTGTGTACTAACATTAGCTGTTTTATATAAAAATGGTTGAGCCTTTTTTTTTCTAGTCATGGAACAAGAACAATGATGAGAAATATTAGAGACTGCAGTTGAGTAGGTTAGAGTTAATTGATTATAGTTTTCATGTCATTTAGTTTACCGGGTTTATTTTAATTTTGGGTAACTTGAACTTCAGATGGCTCTGATATGGAACTTATTTTTGTTTTTTGAACACTTAATTATTTTTCTGCATTGTGATAACCATTTCTGGCCTCTCAAGAAAACCAGGCCTGATATACATTGATAGACTGGATCATGCATGAAATCTAAACCTAAATGGACTTGTTAAACAATCAAGGTCAACATATAAAGAAGAAAACTTTTGCTTACGCACTATAAATGATTAGAAGAAGAATGTACGCAAATTATAGTTCTCCAAACATGGGTTTGTTCCCCTGATCCCTTATCTCTTGATCATGGAGAGTGCTCATGGGGACTGTCATTGTTAATGGCATGTCGACCTGGCAGTGAAGGCTGAATCATAATATGCAATATGCTCCTTTGAGCTGAACATTTCCAAAAATGATGCATAAGAGCATCCAATTCAACAAAACCGGCATAACAAGGGCATTTCTGCATTTCTGGAGCTGAAAGCAAAAGAAATTTATTTCATTGAATAAATTGGCATAGAACAAAAACTAACATCATTTAAACAATCCCATCTCAAGAACAGAGGAAAATAATGAAATAAATCATGATCTCCTGCAAATCTTTAATCAAGTATTTCAATGCACCTACAGGCACCAGTGCAGGTGTCCTGCTCCTTGCAGACTATATGCACCAAGAATTATGTCCTGCACTGGTGCAATCAAAGAAAATGAATTGAATTATGGTGATTTGAACTGTATTAAGTTGCTGTAGTTTATACTTTCTTTGCCAATAGATTTTATTACAAAAATAGAATCAACAGGTAATAACAAATCACCAAAAAAAATCACCACCCAGATCAGAAGGGAAACTATATTCACCATATCAGAAATCACCAAATCGGGACATGAGAAGCAAGTAATTCAATGAGATAAAGAATGAAACTAGCAGCCATAGAAAATGCAACATCACAAAAGAATATATCATGTGAAACAAACCTGAATAATTAAGTTATCTTAATATCTCTGAGAAGCCGAGCAGCTATCGAGCCATATCTTCTTGCTTCCCAATCACCAAGCTTTCCATCTCTTAGTTTTCTTAAAATACTATCTTCACTCAAACGACTACCAACATCATCCTCTTTAGTCACCAGATTACTACTTCCACTATTTTCACCCGTAGCTGGCATTTTTTCTTTTGCTTCACATTGATCAATTTGATGATCAAGCCCTAAAGTCATAGTTTCTAAGCTCCTTGCTGTAGATTTTAATACCATGTTGAAAAGTTGAATACTTGGATGCTGGTATGTAGCATCCATCTGCAGAGATGGGAAGGGGATTTAGTAAAAAGTTCAGGTTAAAAAAATATGGTCATTGTTATGACAGGCTCAAATCTGCATGCCATACTCCAGAAACAGCATAGCTGGAATATGCTTTAAAGAGCCCTAACACTGAAAACAGCTCTATATTCCGATAGAATGAAAACATGACAACCAACTAATGAACATTTTTATTCTCTTTAATATAACCTGGAAATAACATTAATAACTTGGTAAACTAACTCACTTGAACATGCACACTAACCTTCAATCACAGCCAGGCTCTTCAGAAATACACATTTATCATTATTGTACTTCGCAGCAAAAAAAAAAATGCTACAGCAGGAATTAAGAGTGCAGAATTCCTTAAGATGTATACCTTGGATTTGGGGATAATTTTCACCTCGAAGTGTCGTTTCCACATATCAAGCATTTTCTCATGGACGCTAGTGGAACGGATCTCATACCCCAACTATTTAAACAATTTAGAACAGGTGAGTATGTCAACATAAAAGATTTTTTAAGGGAAGAAAAGTTGGAGATACCCCACCATGATTTGGGTTTTCGGGCCTGATAATGCCAGTATTGTCAGCAGAAGTGGTTCCAAGAGATGCTCTGCATAAACCTAAGCGGGCAAAAGTTACCAGCCCAGTCAGATCTATTATTAATGCTACAATATCAGCACATTAACTTTTTCTTTTCCTCGTTTAGAAGATAAACTATAGTATGTCCTCCTTGGGCATCCCAGCCAGAAAGGGAAAAGGGGCTGGAAGACTGCTTCCAACATCCTTTCACTTGTTTTGCTCCATGCTACAATATCAACCCCTGCCTTTGTGTAATTTATTTGCTTCCCAAATCATTACTTGCATCAACACATCTAACCTACAACTACCATAGCCAGGAGTTCTCTCGGAAATAATGAACCACCATAAGGCTGAATAAACAACAAGAACAGTTTATCACTATCATAATTTCATGCTGAGTTTGTCTTGAAAATAATTCAAACATACGGTCATACTTAAAATTATTAAGGTCTACATTTGGAACAAATGAAGAATTAATTGTTTAAGACCTCAGATTTTATCATTTCATAAGGAATCTCTATCCTTCCATATGAAAATAAGCGTAGTATTTCTAAATGAGTTCCACAAACAAAGTTCATTTATTCCAAACATTGCCCAAAGAATGGATATCAGTACCTGCCAAGTACATATGCATGCCAACATTCTTTCTGCTTATAAGGTAAGCCAGCTTTTTACGAGAAAGCATCCAAACACTCTCTTACTTGTTACCTAAACATGAAATTAGCACAAGAATAGAAAGCAAAAACTTACAACATCAGTACCAATAATGTAGTCAAATGGTGGACCAACTGTTTTTATATGATCCTCATTTCCCCAGCTTAACTCGGCAACATGGATTGATCCAAATGACTCTGCAAGGAACCCAATTTCCATGTAAGACAAAATGTAGAAGACCATTCAAGTTCTTTAATAACACTATCTAGTACCTTAAAATTTATGGCTAGTTAAAGTCCATTGAATTTGTTGTTCAATTTAATAGTCAACCTCATATCAAAATCTTTGCAAATTACCATGGTAGTTTAGTATGCATAAGAAGACAGAGATACCAAATACTCACATGAGAATTACAATATGGAGAACTGTATCAAAGCATACCTGAATCAGAACTCATCTGCATGATTCTTGAAGTATTACGCTCAACATTTCTCATTAGCAATGGCAAAACTTCAACTTGGTCTGTTGTTATAACGTCACATCCCAACAATGCCATGCCTGCAAAGAGTAACTGTGTCAGACTGAGCAACTCTCCACCATATAGATGAGGGCAACTTTACGCCTGTGCCGAGCAGAAAACAACAAGGTACATAAAGGCAACATCTACTAATAACAATGTCAAAACTAACCAAATCCAGCTACTCCACAGCCTGCTCCAAGTTCAATAACACGTTTTCCCTTAAGTTTAGACGGGCTAAATCTTCCCTTTCTGCAATTCTTTTCCTGTAAAAAGTAGATTGTAGAAGCTCTGGAAGACAGAAATTCACAAAGAAGCACAAGGTAGACACACAACTTTTTGCCATGATCATCACAGAAAACTCTTAAAAACTGTTTCAGTATCATAAGAATTTAGATATTATTATCTCATGGGATGATAGGTCCAAAGTGTTGAAATCCCAGTCACCCATTCTCATTTCAGAGATAAATAATTGACCCGCACTCTCTATACATTAATATACTGAGAAAATGACTGCAGTTTGACGCTAACTACTTGCTGGCATAAACTAATTCCACACAATCCCGAGATCTGAACTACCGAGGAGTTAGGGAGGATTGCAAAGTAAATATCAAGGAAGCATTTTCAAGAGCATGAGAAGGAACCAAACTGAATACCAGAAATTTGGCGAGCACTAGTGATGCATCCCAAACTGTAGTTCCTAAATGCTTAGAATTGGGATCCTGCCACATTCACAAGTTGACACTTTCAAGAAAATTTTAGGATAGAGAATATAGCACAATATTGATAACCGAAGTAAATCAACCAAAGAGAATTTGATTCTGATAATAAAACATGACGGCTGCTATATATCAAGAGTGCCTAACAAAACTACCTCAAATTAATATTTCTAAAATGCCAGTGGTTTTTTAACTGCAAATATATAATCCTAATGTATTTTTTCACTGAGAAACATTATACGTTCAAAAAGAGAAAGATGTTTCAACATCTCCCCTCACCTTTTCTTATTTATTACTGGAACCTACACAAGGCAAGACAACATTAGACCCATCCCTATGCAGAATCAACCCAAGACATTTAGGTCTACAGTTCGTTCCGAGATTTGCTCTCAACCACTTAAGCAACCCCATAGGTGTTCTCTCTTTGCCATTTTGACTTGAATATGTGTCCTTGATCTAAATGTTTAGATTTAGAAGATTGAATGTCACAACCTTGCTACTTTCCTAACAAGGAGAAATAGCACCAAAAAATTGCGGATTTCTGACATAAACCAGAGTCCACCCAATAACTATGCCCTCATGTATGTGAAGTTGATCCATGTAGTTTAAAGACCTTGCAACTTAAACTTTCACAGGTTTTGGGATTGCATAATCCACCTAATATACCTATACATGCATGCAACATAAAAAGATAACCTACACAAATACCTGAGCAAACTGTAGTTGATAGCCCAAAACTTCAAGGTTAATTGCACAAGTGCTTGGAGAATTTAACCTGATGCAGCAAAATTAGGTGTTTCAGTGACTATCAAGAATGTTCTGAAATTGAATATAACAGTGAAGTTGGTTTAATAATTTTTCAAATATTTATTCAAAAAAATAATATTTCAAATATGTAAATTATGACTTAATTCTATGTATTAAATAATTAAGATATAAGAATATAAGGACTTGAATCAGAGGTTAAGAACATCAAACTTGCTTTGTGTCTTAAGAGATAAACACATGTATAAAAACATACCATGAGCACAGAAAGCAAATATCTTTAGAAGTAAATGCGTCAATCCTTAAAACGTGAAACAACTTAAAAACTTCATTTTTGTTTGACAGGAAAATTAAAGGCCATCTTTACATACCATCATAGAAACAAAAAAAAGGTAATATACCTGTCAAGCTCCATTTACTCCTTGCTCCTGACGAGGAAAAAAAAACACTCTGAAACTACAAAGATTCAACTTTAACATCTCCAATGTAATCACCATTAAAAGAAAAAAAAAAACCCAATAGACAGTAACTCTAAAGTCTAGATATTTAAAGACTTGGAGCAATATATTCACCGGTTCTGAAAGATTTGGACCAGAGTATTCATAATCAGTGAAGAACACTGAAGGGGAAATTCAATAATACAATCAAATCTCGAAACTAAACAAACAAACAAAAGAATGAAACTTTTGAGGGGAAAAGCAGAACCCAGTTTACGAAATTGAAAAGAGAAAGTAAAAGCAAATCATGGAAAAGTATAACGTAAATCACGAAGCTGACAAGGTCCGAGTATTTGGAATTCGTAGAGTGATATAGCGTTAATTTATCAGTTTCGTGTTATTGATTTTTGCAGATAAGTTTGAGTTAGAAAGAGAAGATTCCGGGAAAAGAAGAATTAAAGATTGAGTTAATGAGAGAGGTAACCTCAATCCGAAGGATTCTCTCTGAGTGGATTTGCTTTTGATGTTTCTGTGAGCCAGACGACTGTAACCTATTGCACCGAGAAAATTTCTCTGTGATCGGAAGGTAATGATAAAGTTATTCAAAAAAATTGTGTATTAAGATATAATAATGATAATTATTTTATTTAAATTAATAGAGTAATATAATTATATATTTAATTAAATTATAATATTAAATAAAAAAATAATATATAAAAATATAATTAAATTTATATTTAAATAAATAATTATTACGTTAAATTATTATATTTAATAATATATAATTATTATTTTAATAAAATAAAATTATTTATATATTAAAAATAAATTATTATAATTATATATTATTATATTAAATTTAAAATTATTTTTAAAAATAAAAAATTTAAAGTTATTTTAAATAATTATTTAATATAAATTAATTTTTAAAATATATTTATTTATTACTTAAATAATTTTAAAAAATAAATTTTTTTAAATAAAATAAAAATTAATGAGTATTCACTTAAATAAAAATATAAATTAATATAATTTTATCTTTTAAATATCATACTCTACATTAATTAACTATAAAATAAGTAAAAAAAATATAAATGAAAAAATAGTATAAGCAACATAATAATAAATACTTTTTTGGTTTCCATATTTTTTTATTTTTTTATTTTATATTGAATTTATGATATGTTAAAATTAGTGATAATTATCACAGGTGCATCCCATCCTAAATTTTTTATGTGAGGATAATTTTTTTAATGAATTATTAAATTAATTTTTAAAACTTTAACATTTATTATATTTTTTATTTTTTATTATGATTTAATCTTTAAATTTTTTATTTATTTTGAATGTTAATTTATTAAAAATAATAAAAAAGATTAAGTATTTAAAATAAATAAAATATTGATAACTAATATAATAATTTATACTTTAAAAAACATATTTAATAAATAATTTTACAACAATAATTTAATTGTAATTCAAATTTTAAAGTTATATTTTTTGAGGTAAAGTTGTGATTTTTTAAATACGTTTTTAATATTAACACGGACGATATATATATATATATATATATTTGATCGGATAAAAATTTGAATCATAAAAATTGGAAATATTTTCTCCTCTTTTGGGAATCCGATTAGACGAAATTGGAAACAGACGCCGTATAAATCCCTAATCTGTCAGGAGTCGGATTGTGTCAAGACTGGATTCTTCGTCTATATAATATCAGCTCATCGTCGTTTTCGTTCATCGTTTTCTTTTTCGCCTCACGGTCCACTAAATCTCTGAATCAATCCGCAATACAATCATGACTAATCAAGCTGAATCCTCAGACTCGTGAGTCAACCCGCTTGTTTCTCTTCCCTAAACACGTTTTGATATTTGTTTCTCAGTAGTCAGATCGTATTGTTTATGGCGGTTGTAATGTTAATTTGTGTTTGTGTTTCTCAGGAAATCGGGGAAGAAAGATTTCTCTACGGCAATATTGGAGCGGAAAAAGTCGCCGAATCGTCTCATTGTTGATGAGGCGATCAACGATGATAACTCCGTTGTCGCCTTGCACCCTGAAACCATGGAGAAGCTGCAGCTCTTTCGCGGTGACACAATTCTCATCAAGGTTTGCATTGAAAACACTTATTTTATGTGTGTTTAAAATATTTGTATACACATGTAGATGTTGTAGTTGATTTTTGAAGGTGTACGAACGTATATGCTAATATGGTGGAGGTTTGGCATGGTTAATCTTTGCTGATTGTCGAAGCGTTAAGTTAGGGTTTCATTAAGGTCTTAACTATTTTTTACTTCCTTGCTTTTGGACACGTGAGATTGGTAAATTGGAATTTTAGGTTTGTGTTTATACTGTCTGGGGATGAATGATAAGGAGATGCAACTGGCGAGTTTCAAACTTATTCTTTGGATTTTGATGAATAAAATTTATGTCCACTATTACACCTGGTAGTATGCATTTTCAGTTTGGATTTGGAATTCAAGTTGCTTCTGAACATCAGTTGATTTCCAATTGATGTAAGATTTTATTTCCATTACAATGGAAAGGGGAATTCCTTTATCTGAATGTTTTTTATGAAAGATTTTTGTTCAAATCGGAAAACGAATAGCAAGCGAACTTCGGTAATAAAATTGTGGATTACTGTTGATCCTTCTGACCTGGATATGGGAGTTCCAGAAAGCTGGATGCCCAAGTTCTTATCCGTTAGATTTATGTTTTGTTTTATATTTAATTGTGATTTTTCTATTCAGGGAAAGAAACGGAAGGATACAATATGTATTGCTCTGGCTGATGAGACATGCGAGCAGCCAAAAATTAGGATGAACAAGGTTGTAAGATCGAACTTGAGGGTTCGACTTGGAGATGTTGTCTCAGTGCACCAGTGCCCTGATGTTAAGTATGGGAAACGTGTACACATCCTGCCCATAGATGACACTATTGAGGGTGTTACTGGGAACCTGTTTGATGCATACCTGAAACGTGAGTATCTAACATGTGTTATGTATCCTCTATATTTGTTTTTCATTGGGACTTCCCTGGTTTGCATTTGGATATGAGCATGAGCTGGTGATCTTTTTTCCTTTCTGGAAAACCCCCCTCTTTATGTTTAGTTTTTAATTTGGTTATGATAAGCTTTATTGTTGCCATGATTCTGTACTTTCCCACCTAAATTAACTAGTTTGACTTTGTGTTTCTTTCCTTATCTTTTCTGGCAGCAGACCAACTTAGTTTGCAATTTTCTTTTCTATGCTTGAGAAAGTGTGAATCTCACACGATCTGCTCTGGTGGCTAGATGATTGTAGGATTCTGCTCTCTACTAGCTTATTCTAAGTTGGATGGTTGGGAATTTGATTTCTAATGAATTGATACAGTTTTGTTTTAGATGGTAAATTGGAAAGCTTTTCCTGTCTCTGTATCCCTTTTTTGTAGACAATCTGAACAGTGACCAAAAAGTTAACCATGAAATACACTGCTAATATCTGTGTTAGTTTTTCCAGAAAATGCTTGTTCTCACTGCCTTAGTGTGCATATTTCTATGTCCTTGCCTATTTTTTAACGACTGTTCTATGCCAATTTCATACTTGCAGCATATTTCTTGGAGGCTTATCGTCCAGTGAGGAAAGGAGATCTTTTCCTAGTCAGAGGAGGGATGAGAAGCGTGGAGTTTAAGGTCATTGAAGTTGATCCTGGTGAATATTGTGTAGTTTCTCCAGACACAGAGATTTTCTGTGAGGGTGACCCTGTGAGGCGGGAGGATGAGGAGAGGTTAGATGAAGTTGGTTATGATGATGTTGGTGGTGTTAGGAAGCAGATGGCTCAGATTCGTGAGTTAGTGGAGCTGCCACTAAGACATCCTCAACTTTTTAAGGCGATTGGTGTAAAACCTCCCAAAGGGATTTTACTCTATGGACCCCCTGGGTCTGGGAAGACATTGATAGCACGAGCTGTGGCTAATGAAACTGGTGCTTTCTTCTTTTGTATCAACGGGCCAGAGATTATGTCCAAGTTAGCTGGTGAGAGTGAGAGCAATCTCAGGAAGGCTTTTGAAGAGGCTGAAAAGAATGCACCATCCATTATCTTTATTGATGAAATTGATTCAATTGCTCCCAAGCGTGAGAAGACGCATGGTGAAGTTGAACGGCGTATTGTTTCCCAACTCTTAACTCTTATGGATGGATTAAAATCCCGGGCCCATGTTATTGTCATTGGGGCTACCAATCGCCCAAATAGCATTGACCCAGCTTTGAGAAGATTTGGTAGTTCGATACGGAGATAGACATTGGTGTTCCAGATGAAGTGGGCCGTCTTGAAGTTCTTCGCATCCATACCAAGATATGAAGCTTTCTGATGCTGTAAGTTAATG